GGACTCAATTACAAATTATGACAATATTGCATTAATAATGAGCTCAAGTCTCCACTTTCATGAGTGTTATGACTTTAGAACAACGTTCTGTAACTGCGGATGGTAGACGTAGACAGGGGATGGGCAGAGGACACTGAACCAGCAGGGAGCTAGGGATGTAGCTAGAAGCAGCCCACTTTGAAGTCTGCTGTTTTAGCTTCTTGGTCAGCTAGAAGAAATCATTGGAGTATTCAATTTTCAAAGAAGAGGATTAGTTAACAAACCTATTATTTACATATACACATATATATTCCTATCAAATTGTAGAAACATGTTTAATGACATGAAAGAATTTGTTTATGATATAGTAAATGAATTCAGCAGATTATAAGATACATGCAAATGACTCAAATTATGAAAAAATTCAACCCCAATCCTAATAAGAGAAGTGCATTTTTAACTTTAGTGAGCAAAAGTTAAAAATCCTGACAATATAGTCTGTTGGTGAGGCTGTGGAAAAACAGAAACTTTCACACGTTGCTGGAGGGAATGTAAATGAGTACAATCCAATATGGAGGACAACTATAAAAATTTGACTTAGCTATTCCATTTTGGGGATTTTTATTTTATCAATGTATATTTCTAGCAGTCTATAAAGGTTCTCATTGTTCTATGTCTTCACCAAGAATACTAAATGCTTACTTTAATCCGACTACCTAACATTTGCTAGTCTAATGGATGGATAGTAAGATCTCATTATGGTTTTAATTTGCATTTCACTGGTGACGAATAAAGTTGTGTGCCTCTTTATATATTAATTGGTTGTTTGGGTAGCTCTTTTGGTGAGGCACGTTCAAAACTTTTGCTCATTCTTTTATTGGATTGCCTTTCTTTTAAAAGTGCTTAATTTAATGCATGAATTAATAAAGAGTCAGTGATCAATGATCAGGATTAGAGGTTAACCATGCAGCCAGAAGGCAAATGCAGCAATCCAAGATTTTTTATAAAATCATTTTTTTTTTTGGAGGGGGAGGTAATTAGATTTATTTATTTATTTTTTAAATGGAGGGACTGGGGATTGAACCCAGGACCCCATGCATGCTAAGCATGCACTCTACCACTGAGCTATACCCTCCACCTATGAAACCTTTTTACGCAATTATCTGACACAAATTATTCATCAGGCAAATTGGGCCCAAGCATCCGCCCACCACACTGTCTGCTGCCAGTCATCTGCCCATGTACCCAGATCAATGAATGACAACTAATAACTGTAGTTAACACTCTCTAGGCTCCTTTCAATGTGCATGACACTGAACTAAGCACATATCTTATTTAGTCCTCTCAATACCTTTATGTGGAAGGTACCATTAGGATTAAAGGCTTAAAGGCTTAAATAACTGGACCATTATGACTCAACTGGAGAGTGATGTAGCCAGGTCCTCACTTCATTCTCGATCTCTCATTTAATTCTATAGCCCATCTTATCCTAATTATTACACTGCCTCAAAGCAAAGTTTCCTTTTGGTTTCAAATTTGGAATTACTGTACACTGTGGAAAGGGGAATCGTTAGTTCTAACAGAAGAGAATATAATTAAGTGCTTAGTTTAGAACTGGTAAAACTTAAATTCCCTAAAAAAATTATAAAGCATTATGACAGATACTGACAGAAATAAAATAGGTTTGCGTAAAGCTTCCACTTGGGTTTGTATCACAGACAATATGTAAATGGTGAATGTAGACTCTTTCAACTTACTACTGCATCTATAAACACTTTTACATCTTGACTATATATAATCAGATGCTCTTAATCCAGACTCTTTTTTTTTTTAGGTTAAAATCATGAAATAAACAATGATGGCAAACCTCCCCATGCATCCAACAGCAGTTACCTTAAACACTTGAAAGGAGATAAGGCAGTCAAAAACATTGCATCTCAAAGGACTTTCCAATTATTAATAAGCATAAAACAGCAACATGCTTAAAAGTAAAACACTAAACACTACTGTTTCTTGGAGAAGATCCCAAAGATCAATGGGGAAATAAGTCTATATTTCCAAGTTACATTTTGAATTTGTTGGAAGACAAAAGAACTGTGCTGATTTGAAACAAAAAGTTGCAGAAAGGTGATCAGACTTTGAAAGATCATGAGAACTAAGAACTGAGCTATATAGTCCATGAAGCTGATGGCAGTTTCTGAAGCAGTTTATATAATGAGCTTTAATTCATGGGGTGATTTTTTTCCCCACCTTTGGAGGGAAAATTCTGGCTTGAACATGTTCATGGGTCCTGTACAGCTTGTAAAGCTGTGTTCTTTCTTCCAGTGCAACCCTGCTCAGGCTTATAGTTTCATTTGAAAGAAAAATGTTCAATGTCTCCTAGGCTGAGCATTAATCCTCCCACTGCTTGAACAATTAATCCCATTGTCTACATCTGGAAGGCAAAGTCTGAGCCTTATGGATTGCTTTCTGTATACCTCTATGTGCAGCAGGCTTTTGGACCCTCAAATCTTGGGGACCACAGGTACAGTGTCTCGTTTTACCATTTAATAAGCTCAAAGGCCTATAATGACTATACTGCTACCTGATGGATTTGGTGCGATAATAGCATCACACCTTCTGGGCGGCATCTACTAGCTTACAAGGTGAGAACACATTCTCTTGTCCACTCCCCAGAACAGCTGTTTATGGAAGGCAGTGCTTGGTCATCTTCCATTCTAACAGTGAGGGGAGACTGTGACCTTGCCCTCGGTCACACAGCTGGTAACTTGGCAATCTCATAGTTAAAACCCAGATCTCCTAACTCTAACATCAGTGTTCTTTTATGATTCACTTAATGAACCCAAGATTGGACAATTATAGAGGACTTTCAAAAGGACCCACGTTATCAACGTGCTCTGAGTCCAGAAAATGGTTGGTAATATAAATGTCGCATTGCTGCTCACTTGAACAGAACAAAACAAAGAATAAGCCACTTTAATACTGCCTCTAGGATAAGGAGTCTTGGAAGAAATTGCCAGGATACCTTTGAAAAACCCTCAGTGTGATCAGTCAGGCCCCTGGAAGTGAAGCAGGCCTGCCCTGTGGGGGGGCCTGTGACTCCTAAGGTCTCAGTGTCCTGGCCTGGCCTTCCCATGCAGTTCACATGTATATATATTATTTTTCCAACTGTGCAATCCTGGAAATTGACTGTTTTGGTTTTGTTTTCCCCAGAGACAGATCCAGAGACCAAGATTCAAGTGCAAATGACGTATTTGGGAGAAGAAAGAAACACCAGTAGGGAGTGGGGCCAACAAAGGGTGTGTCATTGAGCCAGCTGCCACCAGGGTGACTGGCGATTAATCCCAAGAGTAAACCCTGAACACAGGAAAACACACACGCCAGAGACACCCCACCTGAAGGGCGAGGGGGCTGGGGTATCTACACGCCAACTCCCAGCAGTCCTTGTCGAGAACTGCTGGGAGTGGGGGTCATTCCCTCACCCTCTGCCATGCTGTGCAAGAGGGCAAGGGGCCATTCCATAGGTTAAGAAAAAGTTCCCAGCAAAGGAATGCAGACACTAGCAGGCAAAGTTTCTGGCAAAACATATGAAGAATATGGAAGTGCACCCAAATGGTATGCTATAACAGGACCCAGGTTTTACATGTTAAAAATTTTCATTCAAAGTCCAAAATAGTGTTTGGGACATAATGGTCCCCTGATAAGTATGGGCACATTAACCTGATATTAGAGGGGTTGTGAGAAATGCTTACAGATACACATTAAATCCTAAGCAACAAAAGAACATGGAAAGAGAGAAGGAACAAGAAAGGACAGCGAAGGCCCTGGAGGGTTGTCTCTACTCACACTTTCTCATAAACCTTGTCGGAGTGCTCCGGCCATTCGATCATGCACACCACTCTGCTGGGCATGGTCTCTGTGGTTGAGTAGTAGCCCTGGGGGAAGGCCAGCAGGAGAGCCAGGACCCAGATGACACAGATGACCACCTTGGTGGCCGTGGCTGACAGTCGGGGCTGGAGGGGGTGAATGATGGCCATGTACCTGGAACAGAGAAGAAGAGACAAAATTCCAGTTTGGTCCCAAAATCTTCACCGGTGACCATGCGTTGCTGCTGCCCAATGAGAAGTTCCCCAGAAGCCCTTTGAGACCCGGTGAGTTTTACAGCTGTCTTCTTTGTCATATTCTGTCCTTAAGCTTTATGACTTCCATGGCATAAACACTAAAATCCATTAGAAAAGTTAGTCAGATTTTTTCAGTATTTTAGAACCCATTTAGCAACACTCCAGGAGAGAAATTTTCATCATTAGAACACTCGTGCTAGGGACTTGATGCCCGAGTGTAGGTCGGTGGCTTACCATGAAGTCAGAAAACTAAGACCAATGCTGTAAATGTATTCAATATAAAGCATATCTTTATCCTTTTGGACTAAGGAATAATGGGGAGAGAAATAGTCATTTTTAAAGTCCTGCTGGGGCAATTTCAAAGGCCAGCAATCCTGTATGGGTCCATACAATTCAAAGGTAAGTCAATGCGTATGAATGAGAAAGGAGTGGCCTAAGCCAGTAAAAAACAATGGCTCCTGGAGAAATCTTCACCAATTCTTTGAATATAGCAAAGTTAATGTGTGGCTAACAACATGTGCTTCATGTAGAGAAAGAGACTCTCTACTTCCTCAGACAGACACAGCTGAGCGCATCAAGGGCCAGGGTGGATGAAACCCCACTGCGGGAAAGGGGGAAGCAAAGTGAATGATGACTTCAGGCCCAGAGCCATTTCTCCACTTCTTACTTGGGATCGAGCACTGAATGGTGGCATCTGAGTAAGTGTCCATGTTCAAATTTGTGTGCAGCCTCTGAGATTCAGCAGAGATTTTAGAATAAATATACCAATCATCATTTCATATCAGTTATAATCACATGAAGTCTGCCTTCTGCGTTTAAAAAGCCCTCTGCCTTTTAAAAGGCTAAGGTTAGCCCCGTCCCCTAACACCCCTGCCCCAAGCTGTCAAGGTGTGTGTTGGGCAGGAACCAAGCCGCCTGGGATCGGACACCCTTCTGGGGTGCGGCTCCCTTCCCCAACAATGTGAGGGGCTCTCCTGCCTGGGATCTTGTTCTCTGGAGGGTGCTGGGCTCAAAGTTGCCATGGTCAAGTACCCCCACCCCACTGGCCTGGTTACAGGGTCCTCAAAGGAGGGGAGCTCCACCTCCTTTCCCACCCCTTCTGGATTTGTTACTGTCTTGCACTCTTAAGATCTGCCAATAAAGATTGCTCACACTGAAAAATTGTTTTTCTTGCCAAGTTTATGTATCTATTCCCTAAAATATGCATTTTCTTCAGAGTAAGAATTATGTCTGATACTGCCTTTGGTGTTTATTTTCTGACAAATCCTCAGACTCATGCATTTGATTCTCTGACATGCAGGTATTTCTGGCATCCATGGGACTGAACTGTCAAAGGAGACTTCAGAAATGAGCAGACAAATAGCACAGCTGTCAGCTGGCTCCACATAATTCCACATAATTCTTTTTTACAGTCTTCGGACACCTAGGATCTCTAAGGCAGGAACTGGGGCCAGGGTTACAAGCAAAGCAATTGCATTCAGTAAATGCACCTCAAATTCACTCTGGACACCTGCCATACCCAGAGCACCGTGTTCCCTTCTGGACTCTGAGCTTCTAATTTCTCCAAGGAGAAAAAGCACATAAATATAAGCAGCCATAAAACATGACAGTAGGATATGTGGCCTCTAGCGTTAATCTGATAAATGCCTTGGAGCCTTAGAGAGGAGGCAGAGGTAATCAAGACTTGGAATGGCAGGTGGGCTATTGAAGTGTTTATAAGGCGGATGCTGGATTCGGTGAGCGTGCTGAGCATCCGGCTGGAAGGGCAGGAAGTATTCGAGACTCCTTCCCTTCTCCACGTTGTGATCAGACAAATAAATCTTCCCGGTCTGAGGAGCTTGATGGCTCCATTTT